GGTCTAGGATCCCACCTTCTTCAGCACAGTTCTCCTAAGAGCCTACATCATGGAGTTTGTGCTGGTTTCTGGAGGATAAGCCACAAAATGAAGACACTCAGACTTCAGACGGGGGAGTTGACCATTTAATACCAAAATGCAAGCTGATTTCAGCACCCTTGAGCTCTCTTCTTTCCCAGGCCTTGTTACAATGCATGAGATGAAAAAAAAGAGGAGGCCCCCAGCGTCCAAGAAAGAGTAACCATGAGACATTCTCGTAAGGAGAGCAAGTCTCTTGCCCCAAACCCAAGAGTACGGTCTGCAAGGCAGGTGCTTGTACTTAGGACCATCGTCGTTCCTGATTTTCCTGCCACAGGAAGCTTAGCTCAATCCTGGAACGACAGGAATAGTAGTACCAATAGCTCTATTTGATATTTCCAGCAGCTTTATTGAGGTATAATTTATGCATCATGAAATTCATCCATTCTAAATGTATTTCCAAGGAGTTTCGGTAAATACATAGAGTTTTGCAATTATCACCACTATCCTGTTTCTGAAACCTTCCGTCACCCCCCAAAAATCCCCCTGTGCCCGCTGGAAGGCAAGTCTCTCTCCCATACCCCAGCTCGACACCACCTCTAACCTCCCTCCTGCTTGCCAAGGTTGGCCTTTCCCACAAATATTATATAAATACGTAGCCTTTATGTTGGGCTTCTTTCACTCACCAAAATATTTGTGAGATTCATTCATCAACATTGAGAAGTGTCCCATGATAGTTTGCACCACACTGTGTCTCTCCGTCCACCCGCTAACGGTGTTTGGATCGCTTCTACTTCGGGGCTGTTATAAATAAGCATTCCGTGATGCACGTTTGTGTCCAACTCTGTCTTAAACGTAATTTTTCATTTGTTTTGGGTAGATGCCTCCAATACATAAGAACAGAATTCCTCTATGACAAACATATGTTTAACTTGTCAAGAAACTGCCAAGCAATTTTCTGGGTGCTGTCCATTCCTAGTCCCCAAGCTGGAGAAAGTTTTCTTCTCTGCTTCGTTTCCTGATTTGTTGTCTGTGCCCACGGGTGAGTCCGCAGGGCTGGGTCCCACACAGTCTGCTTCCTTTTAGCTGCCCCTGCTTTTCAGTGGCATAAGCAGGGCAGAACAGAAATGTGACGGGCTACCTTTCCCGGAACCAGAAGCTAGTGAGCCACATGGCCCGGGGGCACATCCCGGCTCTGTCACCTCCTACCTGTGTGACCTGGTCTCGGCTCCCTGATTCGTAAAGTATGCATGTTCGAGGACGCATCAGTGCCTGCAAGATCCTTGAGATGGTTTTGTGTGGTAGACATAGAAGGCTGTGTTTTTGTTATCTTCTGGATTTAAAAACAATGCGCTTGTCCACGACACTGTCCTGCCTCTTCGCCGATGACAATTCCCAGAGCCATAGATGCGCTTAGGACCGTGGTGGAGATCCTGTGCTGTGGACAGTAACTGTGAGTACAGACTTGGGTGCTAGCTTTGCGGTTCACAGCCCGTGCCTCACGTGAGGCAGATTTCATATCACGTGAGCACTCGTTCACCATTTGAGATTTCATCCTTACTGCTGAGCTCAGTGCAAGGCATGGACCAGGAGCCCGGAAGATGTTTGCTAGATAGATTAATACAGGGGTGTGTCACATTGCTCAGTCCTGATGACTGGACGCCTCCTGGTCATCTTCTAACCACAGAGCATGAGTGTTTAGAAGAGCTGAATATTCAGCCGTAATCGAAATGCTTTAAAAATAGTGGTGATGTTCGCTAACATGGACAGAATGTGTGTGTCGTGGCGGGGGGGATTGTTGTAACTTCTTCTCTTCACCCTTGTAAATTCTCTGGGACATCGTCCACCTGGCGGGACTCAGGAATGAGGAACCGGAAGGTTGGTTAGAACTCAAGCTTAGAAAGCATTTTAGCAGAACAACAGTACATTTCATAAAGAAGGGACAAGACAGGGACAAGGGAGGGAGGGAAATGTAGGGGAACCTCTGGGGAACCAAGGGGAGGTAAATGCTAGTCAGTGGGGCTGTGTGTTCACTCCCCCAGTCTCCAGGCTGATGAGGGTCTGGAAGTGTCTCTGGTGATTAACCTGCTGTCCTTCCTGGTGGGGTTGGGCTGGCAGAGAGCCACTCTTGTGCCCGCTTCTCAGCTCCAAACAATCCTTATGCCGAAGTGGTGTACTTCAGGGAGATGTCATCAGAGACCCTCCAGATGTGTTATCCATGCTACAACAACGTGGTTAAGTGTTAACTGTAATTACCATCATCCCAAAGTATGTCACATTCACGCCAGCTTCAAGAGCACCCTTAAGCCCGGATCGGCCTCCGGTGGCTGGGCTTTCTCAGTTTTAGGGCTCGTTCAGAGTTGGGGAATGAAAAAGTCTGAAAAAATGTATCGTGCTGTTAAAAACAGAAATGAAAACAAACCACAGGTCCAAAACGGTGTCATGTAGATATGTTCCCAGACGAGGCCTTCATACAGAACCTATTAGCAGTCCCCCAACAAGGGGCTCCCTCAGGGACTTTTAACAGGTCCCTCGGGGATTTTTCTGTCTGAGGCTGTGGGTCTGCCACCCTAGGTCGTCTTTGTGGGGTGGAGTCATCCGCATGCTAGGATCGCTTCTCCTCCTTCTCCTCCTGGAAAGGGCCTCACCCAGACCAATCCTTTTCTTTTGCTGGTCACTTTCTTTCCCCCAGCCTCCTTCTACAAAAACCTTCCATTATGTGCCAGTCTCTACGGACTGGCTGGGGCGCTACCCGATTTATGATTCCGGTAATAAAGCCAATTGGATGTTTGAATTACTTGGTTGACTTTTGTTAATTTAACAGTGTAATTGAGGATGTTATACGATGTGGGATCGTTGAGCACAATGGTCATGCAAGAATTCTGGAGACACTTTCAGTGCAAGAAGGTGTATTGATTAAAGCACGGGGACAGGACCTGTAAGCAGAAAGGGCTGCACTGGGGTTGCGTGAGGTGACTGATCCTGTAGGGTTTTCTGTCCTTTGACGGCAAAGGTGACATTAGGGCTCCAGGAAATTGAGTCTGTAGGTTCCGGGAGGTCTGACTATTAGTAAGGTTTTGTTTCTCTTGTCAGTCATTAAGACAGTGACAAACCACAGTGGAGTTTCATGCCCTACAGGACTGGGATCTTTATCAGCTGACCATTTGTTTTTCCCTGGCCTTTGTTCTTACACAGTCAGGAGCGCCTGAGGGATGTAATATATATCGTACCTTAAGGGGGTCCTTTGTGGGGTGTCAGCTCCGCTTTGCCCTCAGCTTGCCTTCTGCTCCCTCGTCATTATATATGACTCTACCCATCTGGGTGAGTCCCTGGCTGTCCAAAGCAGAGCCCTGATAAAGACTGAATTTGAGAAGGTGTTTAGTCCCAGGAACCTGGACTGGGGTCACTAGAACCAAGCCTTAAATTCCTCTCCCAGACACACACGGCAGGGACCGTCTCACTGCAGTGAAGGAAAAGAACAAGGCCCACAGCATGAAGGACCCCACTCACCCAGGACGCCCAGCCCCTGCCCTGCTGGCTTTGGACACTCAGCCCTTGGCCAGACTCTAGGTTCCCTCAGGAGGTTGGGGGAGTCCTTGGGGCTCCTTCCGTGCTGTAGCCAGGAACCCTGGAAATGGGTGAGTGGGCTGGAGAAGCCCAGGGCCTGTGTGCCTGGATGTCCTGACATCACCTGATCAGATCGGCCACGTGTTAGGGGAAAAGGAGAAACTTTATAAAACAGAGCTCATACAGGCCAAATTCCCTAACGAAACAAAATCACAGGCAAAAAAAAAAAAAAGGCTAACTGCCCAGCAAGCCAACGAACACACAAAAAAAACAAACAACAAAAGCGGGGTTCAGAAAGGATCACAACACAAATTTAGAGACAGGAGAAGAAAGAGGGAAGAATGAACAAGGATTAAAGCAGAGTAATGAAACAGGAAAAAGAAGTAGCACAGATTTGTCCCGGTAACTTAGACTGGAGTTTTGGAAAGACACCATATTGAGAAAGCCTGACTAAGGAACACAGAAGGAGTATCTACAGAAACAATATATAGGACAACACGTGCAAGATGAGCACATTGCACAGATGTCTCTGGCTGTTGTTGGAAGGGCCAAGTTGTGACCATGCCTTTAAGGGCCGCGTGTGACAGGAACTGAAGCTTACAGTGCTCTTTTCCTTTGACCGAGCAATCTCACTTCTGTAAGATCCATCTCGCAGAAATACCTACACATGTCCAAAGAGAAGCAAAGGTATGCTTCGCTGCATTGTGTGTAAAAATAGTCACAAAAAAGTGAATACAAACATATCAGTAAAGTGCGGTTTAAGTAAATCGCAGTTCAAACCATACAGGGGAGCCGTGAAACGAATGCGATAGGCCCATGTGGGAAGGGCACACTCGGAGTAATGTGTCTACGCAGCATGGCTCTATACAGACATATGGGCTTTGTATGCACGTGTTGGGTACACACAGGCACACAGGGTGTCCGTGTTACGTAAACACACGTAAGATGTGCAAGGCTACCCACCACGTAAGCAGTGGACAGCGGTGTAAAGTAGAGAGGCTTTTTTAACCCTAAGTATTTGGGTCTTACTTTTGTTGATTTTAAAACCTGGAAAGGAGACTCGACTTATATTTTCTTCCTGTGCAGCAGAGGGAAGGGAATCAGGGGACAGACAGCACAGCGCACACACTCTTGAGTGTGTCCGTGTCTCTGCAGCCTCAGAACCCTGCCTCACCCATGAGCTCAAATTCCATCCTAGCCAAGTTCCAAGCCAGACATGGAAACTGTTGTGTGCGTTCTGGGCAGAAATGATGCAAACAATCGGGTGCTCAGAAAAGCACCAGCAGGGCCAGAAAGTGGGATCTCGACATGATCTGCAGAAATGGCCCCAAGAATGGATGCTCCCCGGGGGGGAACCAGTCAGAGAACTGGCCTTCAGGAGGTGGACTTGGCAACTCTGGAGTTCAAGAACACACCTCCACAGCTGTGCCACCCAGGGGTGGAGAACCCACTGCCATCGGCTGCAGGGCCCCAGACACGAGAGCCATCACACCCACCACTGAGTTGATCCTCATAGCACAGAACGGCTGCAAGGAGGTACCCTGGATGCGGCCTCTGCGTCACAAAGGCCCGTGGTCACCTCGGAAGCCAGAGGCTGCAGCCTGCCACCTGTGACTTTACCTCCCAGCACATGACCCAAAGCCATTGGACAATAGCTTCTGCCTTCCAAATCACCCACGAGGGCTTCTAATGGGCAGAATCCATCCTGGGAGCCTTCTTTGTTAGAGTCCACTTCTCCACCGCTGGGTGAAACAGTCTTCCTGGTCACTGTACACCGGACACAGGAAATGAGTCCAAGGGCCAACTAACAAACAGGAGGGGAGTGGAGGGTTTAAAATGCACGGTCTCAAGTGCCTTCCCAGACGCTGCCGGCCTCCCTCCGCCATGGAGGACTTCATCGTTTGGGCCATCCGAGAGTGACCCCCGCGAGGAGAACGAAAGATCTTTCTCTGCAAAGGGAGCCGACCTGGAGAGAAGTCTCACTGTTACTACTCCTGAGGGTCCCCATTTACACTGGGATAGAGCCCTGCCTACCACCCCGTAGGGCGGATTACCGGTCCTTAGAGGAAATGCTATAGCATGAAAGACAGGGAAAGAAAAAAAAAAAAAAAAAGAGGAAAATAACTTAGGAAAAAAAATAAAAGCATAGAGACTAGCAGACAACAGAATTTTTTAAACAAAGACTGCGTAGGAGGCCCCTCAGCTGTCTGACCAAATGCTGAGATGTGAAACTCCACAAAAGCACTCAAATACAGTGGATAGCAAAGGGCTGAGTAATTCCAAGATGGCACCGAGCGAGGGTATGTTTGGGTTCTAACCAGCAGAGTAGGGAATCTTTGTTGAACACCCGTGGAATTCAGCACAGACTCTAGAAGAGTAGGATCTTAAATTCTGGAGGAACCACCAAAAAAAAAAAAAAAAAAGGTGTAAGCTAATCAGACAATAATGAAGCTCAACATAACTAACGGAGTGCTGATACAAAAGAAAGCAGAACAGGAGAAAAAAAGGAGCAAAGAACAGATAAAACAAATAGAAAACAAACAGCAAGACGGTGAATTAAACTCCAAGCCCATGGACAATTATGTTAGATATACATGGTTTAAACACACCACTCAAAAGGCACTGACACTCAGACTGGATAAAAAGCAAAATCTTTTTATATACTATCTGCATCAAACAGATAACACTGTCTCTATGCACAGAGAGCATGATTATCCATAGTGGATATTCCAAAAACAATCTGTAAACTAGTAAAACTAATATGTGAGTTCAGAAGGACACAGAATACAAAGTTACTATCCAAAAGGTCAATGGTATTTTTATATACTAAAAAATAAAACAGAAATTGATATATTTTTAAGCAGTATCATTTACTGTTATGTGGGAAACACGATATTTAGGGACAAATCTAGAAATATGTGTAAGATTTGTATGCTAAAATATATATAGAATATTGGCAAGGGAAATTAAGAACACCTAAATAAATGAAGAGAAATACTGTGTGCATGGACTGGAAGACTTCACATTCTTAAGAGGTCAATTCTTCCCAAAATGTTTCTCATTTGTTTCAACAAATGAAACAACAATGTTTCAACACAATCCTGCTAAAAATTATCAGCACTTCTTTTTTCTAGAAATCCACAAACCGACCCTCAAATTTACGTGGATAAGTGAAAAAATTACAGTAGCAACAGTAGAGAAAGGACCAGTTTGGAGGACTCACACTCCCTTCTATCAAGACTTCCTATAAAGGGAAGTCAAGACAGTGTGCTATAAGGGAAAGATAGACATACAGACTAAAGGAGCAGCATGGAGGCCAGGAAGAGATGGGCGCTAGGACAGTCCATTGGTTTTCTACAAAGGGGTCCAGGTAACTCAGGAGAAGGGAAGGTTTTCTCAACAAAAGGTGCCCAACCACGTGGATACCTCTGAAGGGCAGAAGATTTCCAGCTAGGGGCTTACCCTCCCCAGTCTATATATACAGAGCAGCTGAGTTGTCCTTCCCAAAGAAGACATTCCTGTTTGTCCCTCACGACTTCTCTCACGATTGCCCTCAAGAGGAACTACCTACTCCTTAGGACGCAGCCTCTTTATGATGGACCTCATGAGCCCCATGCCTTGCCCTTCCTCCCCTTGTGCTCTATATTCTACGTTCCTGAACTACTTACAGTTCCCAGAATATGCCATTCTCCAACCTCTTCCTTAGAAGGCTTCCTCTGCCCGGCCTGCCAGTCTTCACCCGTCCTCCGTATGCTTCAGTGTTATCTCCTCCCAGAAGCTAACTAGGACAACCCTAACTAGGTAGGGAGCCCCTTCATGTGTCCTTAGCTAACTATGCTCACACTTACCTGTAGTACTTGTCGTACGACCCCGTGATTGTTGGCCTGTCTGCACCTGCATCTCTCACAGACAGTGAGATCTAGGAGGGCAGGGGCTATGGCCTCCCGACAGTGACATCCCCAGCCTCCAGCATGGAGCTGGACACATGTAGGGCTCTTTGTGTCCCACAAGTAAAGAGAAGAGTCTTTCCCTAAGAGTCAGCTGCTCGGAGGGATGCAACCAGCTTTGAGCGTTGCTTGGTAAAATGTTCATCCAGCCTTGCCCATCTCAGATTCATTGTCAGAACAAACCTCACCTATTAGCACGTTCTAGTTCACCAGCCCCGGGTAGAATTCACAGAGAACCCCATGAGGAAGAAAACTGAAATATTTCAGCCTAAAGTAAACAACGCTGAAGTATTGGCAAGTAATCATTTTAAACAGTCAAGGTTGTCTTTTAGGGTCTCCCCATCTGTTATTGATCCCACTCAGGACAGGATAAGAAGAGTTTTCTTCATTCAGAAGGCTTTCAGATGGGTGGAAGGGAAGTGGTCTTGGCCAAAGGAGGATAAGAAGGCGCTGCCCTCCCAGGTGGGCTGGGTAGATCGGTGGGCTCCCTCCCGCTCACCTGCAAGTCTGCAGAATGCTCACGGAGCATTCCCGCCTACACCAATGATGACAGTTAACAACCTGACTGCTCTGAACTGGTAGGTCCTGAGTCCACTCTACCATGATCTCAAAACCAGCATTTGCGGAAACTCAGCGAGCTCAACTTCCGAGACAGGATCCCTGCCTACTTCTCAGCACATTTGACTCAATGCTTCCCTCTAGTGTGTGGCTTTGGCATTGCACCAGCCCGGGGCTGGGACCACAGAGACCTAGAGTTTGACAAAACCTAGAGACTTTTCCAAAATTCCCATCAGCTAGCGTATTTCACACATAAGGACACTGAAATGCCAGGTGTGTTGCCCCAGGTCACATAGCCGGGGGCCGGCAGAGGCAACTAGTTTACAGGACCCCAATCTCCCACCTTTGGCTGCCCCCAGCTGAAAGGCACCACACGCAGCAAAGTAACAAAGGTGGGGATCAGGGAGCCTGTCTCATGCAAGGCTTTCCAACTCCAGCCAGCCATGAAGGGCAGCCTTAGAGGTGCGCAACCCAAACACACAAGATGATGACATAGCTCAACTGAAAAACAATCCAAATTCCTGCAAGTCAGAGATCACTGGGATTCGTTTATCGGAATGTTGGAATTTCAGCGTGGAGAAACAGAACAGAGGAAAATTGACGGGATGATGGAAGAGAAGTCCAGGGTGGGGAACAGTCCATATGCATCATAAAGACGGCTTCCTTTTCTCCTATCCCGGCTGGCTGTATGGGAAGCTTGTTCCATTACCTTCCAACTGTGCTAATTCCTTTCTTAAGATTTTTTATTTATTTATTTGAGAGAGAGCACAGGCAGAGAAAGGGCAGAGGGAGAGGGAGAAGAAGAATCCCTGCTAAGCAGAGAACCCGAAGACATGGGTTCGATCCCAGGACCCCAGGATCATGACCTAAGCCTAAAGCAGATGCTTAACCGACTGAGCCCCCCGGGTGCTCCCCTCTCCACCCCTCATCCCTGCCCACTGTGCTGATTTACACCTCAGATTAATTTCTGAGCCACTAAACATTCCACAGTCCCAGTCTCCCTTGGGAAGATCCTTGAAATAAAGTAAATGAAATAATCCCTTCTCTATTGCTCACCAGGGGAAATATGATTCACCAAGGGGAAATGAGGGACAGGCCATTAACACGTTAAAAAAATACCTGAACATACAAACGTCTCTATAGAACTTGGAAGTAAGAGCGTCCCTAAGCATGGGATCTCTCCACTCCTCAGTGAGGCTGTCCATGGGCTTTCCCTCTCTTCTCTAAGTAGCTATCGGTGAGATTCAGTCAACAGGGGAAGTCCTCCCAACTTTGGCTACCACTACACCAAACAGCGACACTTTTTCCTCTCCCCTTCCTCCCCCTAGGAGAGTTGGAGCCGAAAGGGCAAGGACACCCATTAGCACTCAATGTCCGTATAAGGTCATCAAGAGAACCATAAAAGCCAAGCAGTAAGAGAGCACAGTGGCCATCACAACCCCACAGAGAAACACGCTAATGCCAGCACAAGGATGGACATGCCCGCAGAGACACCTGCCCCATGAGGCTCCACGTGTTAGCAGCGGAAGAGAGTGGGAACGTGTGGGAAACCATCTATTGAGGCCTGACTCCAGTGGGGTCTCCGGCTTCCAAAGGCAGAAGAGAACCCCCAGTGCCATCGGAGTGCATTTCTCCCCAAGAACGACATTTTGTTTTCACTCCCATGACTTTCCTCGATCTGGACACAAGGCTGGTGTTTTTGGTTGGAGCCGCTGCCCCAGGATGGTCCACACTCAGAGGACATCGTCATCTTGACTCACCCCCCTCCTTCACGGCCTTCATAATGTGACAGGGACAAAACCCCCACCTCTGTCTCTGGCTCTGGGTGATGCTCACAGGACAGGAAGCAGAAGAGACACAGGAGCACCAAAACCAGACAATGCTCTCCCCAGACCGGAGACCCGTGTCAGGGCCGGGCCTGGCTTAGCATCACTTTGGTGGGGACGGCCTTCTCCACCACTCCTCCCTCTCCCCTTTCGCTCCTGACCTTGTCCCTCCACACAACAATACCGACCAGTGGGACTCACTGAAAAGGCACCATGTGCCCGGTGGGACAGGCTGTTCTGACAAGGGCCACTGGAAGCAGCCAAGTTCACATGCGATCTAGAAATGTCCCCGATTTATGAACAGCTCCGTGCCCTCTGTGCTGATGGGCTCACCCGTCCCTGACACGCCCCAACCCAGCAGGCTCACTTCAGCTCTGGATGCCTGCTGGAGCGGTTTCCTGATCTGGGGCTGGCAGACCCATCAGGAACAGAGTCCAGAGTGTCCATGAACTGTAAAGGGAGTCAACGACATCGTTGCATTCACTAAGCTTTCCCTGCAGCTCCCCTTTCTTTCCATTATAACTGTAGGAAACAAACCACAGTGACTTCCACAGGCCCTATGACTCACGAACAGAGTCAACACTTTCCTACCCTCTCTCAGTTGTTAGATGTTCCCCATGTCGTCCACCTTCACCACCCCTTTGAAGTCCTGGTCCTCACTAAACCTGCCCCTAGACCTTGCTATTTGTCGGTGCATGGTTAAAGGGGCTCGGGTATTACTCGAGAATAAAAAGGAGGGGTTAACTGTGTGGTAGGCAGAAGAATGTTCTCCCAAGGATGTCCACATCCTAATTCCAGAAACCTGGAATACATTTCCTTACACAGGAAAAGAAGTCGGAAGATGTGAGCAAGTCAGTGATATGGAGCTGGGAAGAATATCCCAGGTTCTTCAGATGAGTCCGAAATAATCACAAAGCTTCCTATGAGAGGGAGGCGGGCGGTCCGAGCCAGAGTGAAGCACCTGCTGGCCTTCCAGTTGGAGGAAGAGGCAAGAGCCAAGGAACGTGGGAGTCCTCTGGAAACTGAGAAAGGCAAGGAAACAGGTTGTCCCCGAAACTCCAGAGCAATGCAGCCCTGCTGACCCAGTCTGGATCTCTGATCTCCAAAACTATAAGATAGACTTGTGTTACTTCAAGACCCCATGTCTGTAGTGACTTCTTACAGCGCAGTAAGAAACCAACGCCCCTGCATTTCACTACCGTTTGTTTCTTTTGTGATCCTATGCATTTACTTTGTTTTTTGGCCTTTAAATCCTCACTATGATAACAGCCCATGGCTTCGCCCTCGCTCAGGAAAGTAAAGAATGATGAGATTCGGGGATGGGACAAAGCCTGAGATGGGGCCGCAGTCAGAAATACAGCAAGAATTTAAGTTGTACGATGTCCTAGGTCTTTAATGTTCAGAGCGTCTTAATATAAACAGCACTCCAGTGTCAACTTTGCTATTATTGTCTCTCTGAGACCTTCAAGTCCCAGAGTTACAATGAGTCTACTTGCAAAGAGCCGGGAATTGCTAATGGCAAAATAAAATCTTTGGAAAATCACATGCTCCTGACTGTGGACCAGAAAACAAAAGGTACACCTGCCAGGTAATGATTATTCCTTACTGGAGGGCACTGGTGGCTCTCAGGGGTCCCTCCAGAAGTCTGAGCAGGCCTAGGTTCTGTCCCTGGGGCTGTCATGAGCTCACTGAGCTCACATGAGCAGGGTTGCCCACCAGCCTCTCCCTCTAGGCATATGAGAACTCAGGCAGCCTCATCTGATGCTTCACCTGAGTATAATTGCCCAGAAGGACTTCTATTGCCTCATTAGACCGACCATTAACAGTTAGAAAAACAAATACACAGAGGGGCAGGGCAAATACACTCTGGCCATTTGCAAGGTTGAAGACGGAGCCCTGGTAGCCAACAGATGTGTGCACCCGGGCAGCAGGTTGTCCGCTAATCCTACCCAAGGAGCATAGTGGACAGGCAGGCCCTCTGTGTCCTCAAGCAGGACTCTGAAAGCAAAGACAGAAGATTAACCTGTTTAAATAGCTAAGCCTCTCTGTGGCAGCCACCAGGCTCCCTTTCTTTGCTCTGTGGAGGAGACCAGTCTGGAAATATCAGGTTCAAGCGTATTACGCCACATACAGTCATCATATCCCTGAGTGGGGCGGCAAGGAGGGGTGCAGGTGAAGACGGGGCGGGAAGAAAGGATTGTTTTACTATGACCTCCACTTTGATTAGCAGAGCGACTGACATGGGTCACTGAGCTGTTGTATGAGACAGCAGAAGTTAGAAGGTAAGTCGGGGTTCGTCTCCTCCACTCCTTCATTTTATGAGGGATAAAAACTAAAACTCAGAGGGGAAGGATGACTTGCCCAAGGTCACACAGCAAGCTCATGCTCATGAGAGCATGCATTCGGGCATAGCCTTCCTGACTGCCATTCAGGATTTCTATCCACCTCCCCGAAGGAAGTCAAGGAAAAGGAGAAAAATAGGTGACAAAGATAAGACTAGGGGAAGGGTGTCAGATTGAACTGGGAAATGGGAAACAGGCAGAGGATGGACAATCCTCGGAACAGACAGGGATTCCGAAATACGGTAAGAGCCAAGAAAGTTCCGAGACAACATGTGGAAGTAGCTCTAGGGTTTCAAATGCTCTAGAGCTGTAGTGATTAAGACGGTATGTTATTAGAACAGTAATCAGCAAATAGATCAACGGAACAGAATAAAGTACATGTGGGATTTAGTACCTAGGAAAGATGCCATTTCAGTCAGTGGCAGGGGCTGGGGGAAAGGGCTCTAGTCTGTGCCTGCCATGACCCCAGGGACTAGACATCTGAGGGAGAAATTAAGTTAAATCCTTACCTCACAACATCACTAAAAAGGACAACCTCAATAAAAAGGGCAATATTTTTAAAGTATGACAAGAAAATGTAGGAAATACCTTTAGGAGGGTGGAGGTTCTCCTAACCGAGGCACCAAAAAAAGCAAAAGGAGAAAGACTGGTAAATTTGACTGCATCCGAATTAAAACTCCCATTTTCTAGTGGCAAGTTAAAATGGGACAAACCAGGAGAAATATAGCAAAAGACTTGAAGTCATAAAAAATAGTCTAGCAAAGTACTTAAAGCCATAAAAGATAAAGAATTCCAAAAATCAA